AGATGTCGTTTTAACGAGAAAACATCTCGTTATTACGAGAAAAGATGTCGTTTTTACGAGAAAAGATGTCGTTTTAACGAGAAAACATCTCGTTATTACGAGAAAAGATGTCGTTTTAACGAGAAAAGATGTCGTTAAAACGACATAACTGAGTGAAAAAAAAAATATGTGTGCGGCAGCAATGCGTCACCGTACAATCAGGTGTGTGTTTCCTAAAGCATCGATTTCTTTTTTTTTTTTTCATCGATTTCTTTTTTTTGGGCGTTTTTGAGTTTTTATTATGATAGGAGACAGTAGAGGATACAGGAAGCTAAGTGAGAGAGAGAGACTGGGACGGGATTGGGAAAGGTCCTCGAGCTGGGATTCAAATGGCACGATATATCAGCACGCTGCCCACAAGGCTATTGGCGCCATAATTGCAACTATGGTCATAACAAGTTCCATCATTACTAATATAGTTCAATGATTCAGTGTTTCCTGAAACCATAATTCAAACGGATATTCCCAAACAGCATCACAAACTTACGTGGTTAGAACTACAGCTCTTGACCTATGGTTTAAAGCATAGTTTTTTGCTAGTATGATATATGGACTTAGATCATGCTCTTGAGTACAATTGTATGGACAATTGAGGTCATTGTACGGGAAAGTTCGACTGAAGTGTTTACATTAAGGCTTTTCAGTCCGATTAAGCCATCATTCAGATTATAAACACATCATTTGGGTGCATGTAAACTAGGGATGCACCGAAATGAAAATTCTTGGCCGAAGCCGAACAAAATGAAACACTGGGCCGAAGGCCGAATACCGAACACGGTTTTTCACATTTTCCCCCCCATGTAGGCCTATTTTGCCTTTTTTTTTCCACCATTGCATTAATTAAATTGCCAAAATGTGCTTTTTACTGTTTTGTCCTGCTTTTCAAATAAAAAATCAATTACAAAACAATTTAAAAATATTTTATAACATTATTATAATATAATATTAACATTCTAGCAGACATTATACCAACAAAGCACAATTTAACTTAAAATTAATAAGTTAGTAAAATAATATTTTTGGACATTTTTGAGACTTGAATCAGGCATGTATTTTTTACTGTACAAATAAAGGCAGCCTTGCTGAGCAGAAGAGACTTCTTTTAAAACATTAGAATATATTACAGATCCCAATTTGAACACTATGTGTGA